GCCCCCCCAGGCCACAGCACAGACCACAGACATCAGCACAGCCCCCCCAGGCCAAGCACAGACCACAGACATCAGCACAGCAGCCCAGGCCACAGCACAGACATCAGCACAGCCCCCCAGGCCAAGCACAGACATCAGCACAGCCCCCCAGGCCACAGCACAGACCACAGACATCAGCATGGCCTCCAATGGCATCAGAAATTACAGGCATCACTAAGGTCTCCTGTGGCAACCCTTATCACAAATATCAACATGGCCCTCAGCAGCAATATGGACTAAATATCAACATGGTCTTTGGTGGCAACATGGTCCCCTGTGGTGGGGCAGACCATGGCCATCAACATGACCTCCACCAAGAGCTCAGACCATTGACATCTGGTGTAACATCAACCACAAACATCAACGTGGCCTCAGGCAGCAGCCCATTCCAGACATCTACTTGTCCTCTAGCAGTAGTACAGACCAAGAAAATTAGCATGGTCTCAAGAGGCAACACGGACCATGGATGCCAACATGACCTCTGATGGTAGCATGAACCATGGACATCAACATGGACTCTGGCAGGAATACAGACCACTAACATCAACATGGCTCCGCACAGTGGAAGTATGGACCACAGATACCCATATGGTCTCTGGTAGCATTAACAGCCTATGGCAGCAGCCCAGCCCACAGACCCCAGCATGGTCACAGCTATAGCACACAGAATTCATGCAGCATTATGGCCTCTGGTGGCAGCATGGACCATGGAGGATTTTTGAGAAGGTCCAGTCCAGAAATCAACCAATCTCTGTGCACATCCTGACATTGCTCAGAGCCAGGGTGATCCTGGGGCCGGGCAGCATGTTCAGGGGTAGAGCCTGCACGAACTCCAGGCTGCTGCTCACCACTCTGCTGGCCCTCCTTGACAAGGACATGCTCCCCTGTCCTATGCAGCTGCACGCCCACAGCTATGCCCCATGTCTCTAGTTCTGTCTCTCTTCACACGCCGCTCCATCCCATCATCCTTCCTACCTCTCCACCGAACCTTTAGTCTTCAGAGTGGCACTGCAAACTGCTGTCCAAACAGCTTTACAGGCAAACACTTACTGCAATGAGTCACTGGTCTGGTTCAAGATCTCTGGTTTCTGCAGCCCCATAACTACTGGACTATCACTGAGACTCATCTCAGATATCCTGCTGTTTCCCAGTCAGAGTGATCTTTCAGCTGGGCAGAGTGTCCAGGGGCAGGGTCCGATGGCGCTCCAAGCCACTGCACATCTCTCTGCCCTTGGGCAGCTCAGGAGCAATGGCAGCTCCATGCTGTGGGTCAGGTCCCAAGAGGGGAACCAAGGATTCACCCTACAAACTGCTCTGTGGTCCCTACCAGTGTCGGCGGCCACCACCATCTTGAATCAATCTTCAAATATTTTTTAAAAGATTCTGATAAGAAATTACAGATGCACCAGGACACGTTTACTGAAGATACGGCCATTCTCTCTGAGGCTCTTCTCTAAGATTCTCACTGTAGGGCACGGCTAGACTTGGGCTCAGGTTTTGGCAGTGGTGGTGGTGGTGGCAGCCGCTCCTCCATGGCGGCTGCAGGGGTGATGGGGCGGGTGGGAGGGACCACTGGCTGGGTCAAAGTGCCTCTCATCTGTGGGTTGTCAGCTGCGATCTGGTATGGGGGAGGGGAGGTTCTGGAGAGACTTGCCTGCCCACTGCAGGAGCCATGAACACCTTGGCCACCTTGGCTCCTATCATCTCATAAAATTTTCTCTTCATTCCTTAAATTCCTAGGCTTCAACACGTACGGCTTTTCTCACACACAGAATTCCTCACGGGCAGATGTCCCGATCCTGTAGGTGTCCACTGATGCTTAGTAAGGATGGATTTATTCTAAGTCTCACACCTTCTTGTATCTCTCAGTCTTCTGACAATCCTACATTCTCTGTTGTCATGTCAGGACTAACGGTTGTACTAAGTTTTTCTGGGCTCCTTTGCTGGGGGAGATCTGCCCGTGTGGATTGCTCTAAGACCACCACCAACGGAGCCAACTTCAGTTTCGAGGGAAGTCCACATTCAGCTGACGAGAATGGGCTGTCAAGCTCTGTGGTGGACTAAGAGGAGAAAGTGGGAGACCAGGAAGGAAGGGGTGGGGCCAACGGGTGGCATGCACTTAGACTGAGGAAGTAGAAAGGGAGGATCATTTCCCAGCCACTCTGTGCATTTCTCAGATTTATTCTTTAATATTTATCCCTGAGTTTTAGATTTCAGTAAACAATAAAAAATCCCAGTACTCCTTACATTCTCATCCATGTGGCCTCTCGTGTGGCTTGAGAATGCATTTCCTCACTGTACGTTTGTAAGGCTTCCTGTCCGTATGTGAGCAATGATGTGCCCTGAGTGGGGACTTAGAGGAAACCTAGCTTCACTGCACTCATCCATAGGGCTTCTGGGCGGCTTGTATCCTCGGATGCCACAGAACTGCGACTTGCACGAAATACTTTGCACTTTGCAGTCACAGGATTCTTATTCAAATTCATTCTCTACCATGACTTTCCGTATAAAGTTCTCTCATTCATTCCATGCTCAGGGCTCCTCATCGGAGGTGTCCACTGTTGCTACTTGTGACTTGAAGTAGAAAGGAATCCTGCATTCTTTTCTTTCAAAATACCTGCCACGTGCTTGTGTTCCCTGACGTTAATCGAGCTTTGACTTTCGGTAGAAAGCTTTTCCACATTTTTTACATTCAAATTGCTCTTACCTGAGTGAGTACGCTGATGTCGGGTGAGGTATGGCTTGCGGGAGAAGGCTTTCCCACATTCTCCACATTCATAGGGCTTCTCACCTGTGTGAGTTCGTCCATGCACAATGAGTTGTGACTTATAGTAGAAATACTTTCCACATTCTGTACACACATACGGGCATGTATCTGTATGTATTACCTGGTGAAGAGTGAGATGTGACTTGCAATAGAAAACTTTCCCACAGTCTGGACACTCATAAGTCTTCTCGCCGATATGACTCCTCTGATGTAGAAAGAGTGTGGCCTTCTGATAGAACGATTTCCCACACTCCATACATTCATAGAGCTTCTCACCTGGGTGAGACCTTTGATGCTCAGTGAGGCGTGACTTGGAGTGGAAGGATTTCTCGCATTCTCTACATTCAAAGGGCTTCTTCTCATCTGTGTGAACTGTCTGATGCCGAGTTAGGTGTGACTTATAGTGGAAAGACTTTCCACATTCCATGCACTTAAAAAGCTTCTCACCTGTATGAATCCGCTGATGCAGAGTAAGCTGTGCCCGGCAGTAGAAGGACTTCCGGCATTTTGTACACTCATAGGGCTTCTCATTTGTATGAGTTCTCTGATGCAAAGTACGGTGTGTTGATCGGTAGAAGGCTTTCCCACATTCTGCACATGCATAAGGCTTCTTGCCTGTGTGAATTTTCTGATGCTGAGTGAGGTATGACTTGAGGGAGAAGGTCTTCCCGCATCTTGTACACTCATAGGGCTTCTCGCCTGTATGAATGATCTGATGTAGAGTAAGTTTTCTCTTAGTGCGGAAGGCTTTCCCACATTCTGAACACTCAAAAGGCTTCTTACCTGTGTGCATTTTCTGATGCTGAGTGAGATACGACTTGGGGGAGAAGGTCTTCCCCCAGTCTGCACATTCATTGGTCTTCTCACTTGTACGCATTCTCTGAGGACTAGTGAGCTCTGAGTTGCAGAAGAAGGCCTTTCTGCATTCTGTACATTCACAAAGCTTCCTGTGTGGGGGCGCTTTCTGACACACTGTAACATGTGAGTTCTGGAAGAAGGTTTTCCTGCACTCCTCACACCCACAGCTTATCTCCCCCTTCTGAAGCCTCTGCCCTTCAGCAAGAGTCGACTTCCAATGGAGAGCTTTTGTACACACGTGAGATACTGGACCCCCAGTACACTGTGATCTCTGGTACACTCTCTTCTTACATGCTTCTGCTTCACGGGATTTTGACCCTTGATGGGTCTTCTGTTGCTCCTGTAGCTCGGCCTTGAAATAAAAGCATTTGTTATATTTCTTATACCTACAGGGAGGCCTTTTTCCTGGCTGATGCTCTTGAGGCTCCGTGAGGTATGATTTCCCACAGTCACATTTACATTTCTCACACTTATATGCATTTTGTCATTTATTGAGTTTACTTTTATAGCACAGAATCCAAAATATATTAATAGTGGTTAGATAACTTCACATGATCTATGTGTTGGGCTACATATACAAGTGTCACCGAGAAGAATTTCTAATGTTTACTGAATTTACTATCAAACACATTGAGTTAGCTTGGAATGATATTCCTGGTCAAATATCCTAAAGATCATTGTGCATTGGAGAAGATGTGCAGGATGCAAGAGAGGTTTGCCAACTGCATGAAAATTTTTGAGTTATTCTCCACCCTGCAATTTGAGAAGCCAAATATTGAGAAGCAGTACATTCTTACCTGAGTTAAGTGTCTGTGGGTGTGGGCAAGATAGGAGGACATACAGGTTTATGCATGTGTGTCTGCCTATGTGCAAGTGTACATGCACATGTGAGTGTGTCTGCCTATGTGCAAGTGTGCATGCACATGTGAGTGTGCCTGCCTATGTGCAAGTGTGCATGCACATGTGAGTGTGTCTGCCTATGTGCAAGTGTACATACACATGTGAGTGTGTCTGCCTATGTGCAAGTGTGCATACACATGTGAGTGTGTCTGCCTATGTGCAAGTGTACATGCACATGTGAGTGTGTCTGCCTATGTGCAAGTGT